GAACTTTGCGTTTTATGGGGCCCCTCAGGAACTGGCGGCTGCGAAGTCGGCCGAGATCAAGGCCTTGGAGGAAAAGGTGGTGGCGAAAACACAGGAGTGCCGGCAGAGCTCTCCTTGCACACGATGTCACACACACACACTGCACACTTTGAATTCCACAACATTTAGACCTGAGGCGGTATTCAAGTACGTAAGATTGAGAAAGTCGCAGACAAGCTGACATGTTTCAACAAGCTGGACTTGACTTGTTTTATCGAGCGGGGAAGAGAGACCTGGGAAACCAAGAGAAAGGACTCTTTTTCCAAGAGCAGCGGGCGATCAAGGCATTTTCCGAGCTTGAGATGCAAGTCATGATTCACGCGAAAGTTGAAGGCCACACAGCAGTATTGGCAGATGTCTTTGATGGAAACTGTGCGGGCTCTTCGTTTCAGGCAAAGTCAATCGGAAATCCAGAACTCAGAACGTGCTGGCATAGAACACGCAGGGACACACACACAGACACACAAAGACACAGACACAGACACAGACACAGACACACAGACACAGAGACACAGAGAGACAGAGACACAGAGACACAGAGACACGGAGACACACAGACACAGAGAGACAGAGACGGAGACACAGAGACACACAACAGACACAGAGACACACAGAGACACAGAGACACAGACACACAGAGACACAGAGACACAGAGACACACAACAGACACAGAGACACACAGAGACACAGACACAGAGACACAGAGACACAGAGACACAGAGACACAGACACAGACACAGAGAGGCACAGAGAGGCACAGAGACACAGAGACACAGAGACAGAGATGCAGAGACGCGGAGACGCAGAGACGCAGAGACGCAGAGACACAGAGACGCAGAGACGCAGATACGCAGAGACGCAGAGACGCAGAATCGCAGAGACGCAGAGACGCAGAGACGCAGAGACACAGAATCGCAGAGACGCAGAGACGCAGAGACGCAGAGACACAGAATCGCAGAGAAGCAGAGACGCAGAGACGCAGAGACGCAGAATCGCAGAGACGCAGAGACGCAGAGACGCAGAGACGCAGAATCGCAGAGACGCAGAGACGCAGAGACGCAGAGACGCAGAATCGCAGAGACGCAGAGACGCAGAGACGCAGAATCGCAGAGACGCAGAGACGCAGAGACGCAGAGACGCAGAGACGCAGAGACGCAGAATCGCAGAGACGCAGAGACGCAGAGACGCAGAGACGCAGAATCGCAGAGACGCAGAGACGCAGAGACGCAGAGATGCAGAATCGCAGAGACGCAGAGACGCAGAGACGCAGAGACGCAGAGACACAGAGACGCAGAGACGTTGCGTAGACAGACACGGAGAAAACACCGCCGAGGGAGAGAGGGACGCGGGAGGCAGGCGCACGGGCGGGGGCAGGAGGGCACGGGCGGAAGGGACATGGGGGGAGGGACACGGGCGGGAGGGAGAGGAGGGACACGGGCGGGAGGAGGGACACAGGCGGGGCGGAAGGAGGGGCACGGCGAGGAGGGAAACCGGCGGCGGAGGAGGGACACCGGAGGAGGGACACGGGCGGAGGGACACCGGCGGTGGGATTTTGGCGGACGGACACAGAGACGCGCGGAGACACAGAGAGACGCGACACGCAGAGGCGCACAGAGATGCACACACACACACACAAACACCCACGGCGCGCGCAACACACAGACGCACAGAAACGAGAAACACAAAAGCACGTGCACGCATGCGCGTCGGACACCTACACCCACGGACAAATGCGCACCACGCGCGCCCCGCGCTCCACGCGCGCCCCGCGCACCCCGCGCACCACGCGCGCATGTACACGCGCACGTAAGCGCGTGCATCACACACACACACACGCACCCACGCACCCACGCAAGCACACCCACACGCATGTGCACGCACACGCGTGCGACACGCACGTGCATGCACGCGCCCACGCACACGCCACGCGCACGCTACGCGCACGCGCCTGCGCCTGCACGCACACACGCATGCGCCCGCGCAGACCACACAGACACGCACGCGCACAAACACCACACACAGACACACAGACACAGACACAGACACAGACACAGACACAGACAGAGACACAGATACAGACACAGACACAGACACACACAGACACAGACACAGACACAGACACAGACACAGACACAGAGACACAGAGACACAGAGACACAGACACACAGACACACAGACACACAGACACACAGACACACAGACACACAGACACACAGACACACAGACACGCACACAGACACACATTCACACATTCACACATTCACACATTCACACATTCACACATTCACACATTCACACATTCACACATTCACACATTCACACATTCACACATTCACTTTCACACACACACACACACACACACGCCCACGCCAACGCCCACGCCCACGCCCACGCCCACGCGCACGCGCACGCGCACTCGCACACGCGCACGCGCGAGCGCACGCGCACCCACACGCACACGCACACGCACACGCACACGCACAGGCACAGGCACACGCACACGCACGCCCACACGCACGCACGCACGCACGCACGCACGCACGCACGCGCGCGCGCATGCGCGCACGCACACACACGCACACACACGCAAACACACGCACACACACGAACACACGCCCACACACGCCCACACACGCACACACACGCGCACAGACGCACACACATGCACACACAAACACGCAAACACAGAAACACACAAACACGCAAACACACAAACACACAAACACACAAACACACAAACACACAAACACACACACACACCCAAACACACAAAGACACAAACAAACAAACACACAAACACACAAACACACACACACACCAACACCACACACACACACCAACACCACACACACCAACACCATACACAGCACACCACACAACACACAAAACACAACACAACACAACACAACACAACACAACACAACAAAACGCAACACAACACAACACAACACAACACAAAACAACACACAACACCACACACCACACCACACAACACAACGCAACGCAACACAACACGACAGAACGCAACGCAACGCAACACAACACAACACAACACAACACACCAACACCACACACACACACCACACACACACACCCACACACACACCCACCCACCCCCACCCACCAACCCACCCACCCACCCACCCACGCATGCACGCACGCACACGCACACGCGCACGCACACACACACACCCACACACCCCCACACACACCCACACCCACACACACACCCACACACACCCACACACACACACACCCACACACACCCACACACCCACACACACACACCCACACACACCCACACACCCACACCCACACCCACACACACCCACACGCACACACCCACACACACGCCCACACACACCCACACACACCCACACACACACACACACGCCCACACACATGCACACACACCCACACACACACATCCACACACATCCAGACACACACCCACACACATCCACACACACATCCACACACATCCACGCACATCCACGCACATCCACGCACATCCACGCACATCCACGCACATCCACGCACATCCACGCACATCCACGCACCCCCACCCCCACCCCACACCCACACCCACACCCACACCCCACCACACACGCACACGGACCACGCACACGCACCACGCACATGGCGCCGCCGTTTGTCGCGCCTGGCCGAGCTCGGTTGGGGCAGTGGCCCGAAGTCGGCCCCCGCCTTGGCGCCCAGGCGGCCTTACGGGCCGCGGCCCGCTTCTTGTTTTTCTTTTGGTTGCGGGCCTGCTTGTTGCGGTCGGCCTCGGGCACTAGCGCCGCCGCATGCGCACACGCGCACGCACACGCGCGCGCACGCGCACGCGCACGCGCACGCACACGCGCACGCGCATGCGTACGCACACGCACATGCGAAATGCTTGACAGCAATGCTGGCATGCGTGGAAGCCTTTGAAGCCCCTCTTTGCTTGAGTTGGATTTGTGCTTGGTGCTTGGACCCTCGTCGCCTGAGTTGGAGTTCTGCTTGTTGCTTGACATGTTGCAGCTGCTGAGTTTTGTCTTGGAAGGGTCAGCAGGCAGCTGCTCTCCATATGATATGCATATGCACGCAATTGACTGAATGTGTTCTTTGGCTGATGCACATTTGCCCCGTTGCAGGAAAAGGCGCAGTCCGAGAGCACTTTTGCCCGACACTCAGATTGGACAGCTTTTCTGTTGGATCTTCTGGCCGCCTTTGTAGCATTTGGCCAGCACGATGTCGCAGCTCCTTTGCCACACGACATGATGGAAGCTCCGGTTGTAGTGTGTGATTTCTATGTGTGCCATATGTGCTGCTGGAGGAAGCATCTAAGAAGGACATCAAGGTTACCAACAAATCCCTTGAAGCTGACATCAAGCCGGGGGCTAAGTTCACTTCGGCCAAGGCATGCAGGACCTGGTGCATAAGAAGCTTGACCTCAGGTTTCAAGCTGCTGTGGAGCAACGCTGCACAGGGAGCTCCATGGTTTTGTGTTGATGCAACGAAGCCAACACCTGCATGGATGCATGAACAAACACAGCTTAGTGTTACCGACCGCATATGCAGCGGCCTCGGGTGGGTCCGGAAATCATGTTTGTTTGACTTGGCTGATGTTTGCACTGAACAAAGCTTTTTAGTGTGACCCAGCAGAGACATTGTGTCGGGATGCCAATGCAATCAAGTTTGTCTCTGTGTGCTTCCAGGAGTGATGCAAAGTTTCAAGAGCGCAGGGAACCTGGTTTGTATGTAAGGTTGAATACTCACAAACAAGCACGCCTGCTCCTTTGTAGATTTGTCGGAGCACAGCTGGATCGATCCAAGATGTGCCAGAGATACAATTCCTTCGCCTTTGCTTATGCCGTCGTGCAAACGTGAATGCCACTCCTGCATTCGAAGCTTCGCCGCTGTCTGCTTTTGCCGCTCACTTTCGCCTGACTGCCGCTAGGCATGCGAAGCCGCTCTGACGAGTTGACAGCCGTGTCCAAGACACTGCAGGCAGTTCGACAGTTCAATTGGCCTGTATGCAGATCGTGTTTGTGCTTCATGAATGCAAGGTTCTTCGGAGTGCGGTGCTCGGCGGAGAGTGAATGCTTTTCTTTCCTTAGAAAACACGTCGAGAGGACAATGGAGATCTGAGCTCCATTGTTCTTATCCAGCCTCAAATACAGCTTTGCTACCCTTTCAAGCTCTTGCCTGGCAAGATACCACTTCTGCCACTTCAACTCCTTGAACTTCGGACAGCCAGGTGATGAAGCGCGGGACTTGCTGGGCAAGTCGGTGTCTTTCTTGCAGCAGCCGTGCCCCAAGTGTATGACCACCGATGCGTACTGCGTCGGCAGCCATCACTCGCAGCTGGCGGTGGGCGGTCTGTTGGCTCAACGTTGAAGTCACCTCACTCGGTCACACCAGTTCGATTTTGCCGCTGAAGCGAACAAGATATGTAGTTTTAACTCAAGAGAACACTTGAACAGAGGCGCTTGCATGAGTCACCATCATTGCTGCTGGATGTGCTGGCAGGTCCTCTCGAAGCGCAAAGGCAGAAGAAGCCATGAAGAGAGCCGGAGAAACTGGGCTGCAGTCGTGCTTGACAAGTGCTTTTGAACTCGCTTTTTGCTTGCGTCCAGCATGCTTAAATAATCCTGATGAACGATGAACGAGACAACGCATGGATTTGTATTTGCTTTGGCATTGTGGGAAGATTAATTTGATGCTTTGTTTCTGCCCCGACAAGCTTGAGTAGGCGGCTTTGCCTAGGCCTTGCTCATGGAGAATGGGCAGAGGCCAGAGCCTCGTACTCGTCTAGCTTTCGAATCGCGCGCGTTTCTTTGACGGAGGCGGCCCCTTCGCAGGGTTGCAAAAATGCCAGCAGTTCTATGTTCAGCGTCGAGGCTGCAGGCTCAGGGGCTCATCACGCTTGGACTCCAAAGCAGGCGGGTTGGGCGCAAGCATTTCAAGCTTTTGTGATTCAGAGTTTCATGACCAGGATTGATTCATTCACCAAAGTGAAAGCCTCCATTGCTGAGATGCCGCGCCCTGAGCACTTGTTGCTATGAGAGCAAGTGAAGTCACGTACTCTGGACGCTGCAATTTTGGCCCAGGGTGTCCGTTCTGAAGAAGCAGCAAGATGATGAAGTTGCGTGGCATGCCTGAAGTCTAATTAGCAGAGAGAGGCTGTGTAATTTTCCAGGCAAAGTTGAGAGCACCATGCGGTGCACGAGGCACCGGGACATGTGCGTGGATGACCTCAATCAGAATGGCCTCGACACGGAGGAGAAGAAAGGCGCGCGCAAAATGCCCAATCTAAAAATAGTCGGAAGCCTTGGCGATGAGGTTTGAAGGGCCGATCCGAGGACAAGATTAAGGCTGGCTCTTTTGGGGCTTGAAAGCATGTGGTCTTGAAGGCTTTGGTAGATGTGTTCGTGCCAGCCCTTTTCAAAATCTTGGTGAGTGTACCTTCTCCTTTGAAACAGGCATTGAAGTCCAAAATCACGGACTGCAACAGTGCCATCGCCGCATTGACAGCAGAGGCTCTTTGACTGACGTTATACCAAAATTTTGGAGTGGCGATCTGGGACAACGGCTCTGGATGACACTGAAGGTGGAGGAGATGAAGATGCAAGTGCAACTTGCAGGCGAAGCGCGCCAGAGCCAGGCTTAGGTGGCGGTTTCATTGCGGCAGCTGCTAGTTGGCCCTAAGCATGGCTGAGCGCCTCAGGAAGGAAAACGACAAGCGCAGAGCCCAGTGGGTGGACCAGCCCACGTTGCATTGGAAGCGTTCCTTCTGGCAAGAGCTGGGGTTCCGAGTCATGCTGCTGAAGGTTCCAATCAGAGGCTGAAGAGCAGCCAGAGACCCGGACAGCTAGCGTTGTGGCTGTGGATTTTTTGCTTCGCCCAGGCAGCAAACACAAGTCATTCTGAAGAAAGCTGTCAAGGCCGGATCGTAGCCAAAGGGGCTGCGAGGGTCGCGTGACGGCAATGGCATGCCGCCCTGCAGTTTCTCAGCAACTTCTATTCCTCCGAGAGGCAGGCCACCACGCTTGTGAGTTCCACCAATGTCTAGCATATAGCAACGAGTTGCTCAGGTCTTTGGTGCAGATTCGCAGCCACAAGGCCGAAGAGGCGGGTGCACGCCAGGGTTCCGCTTTTTGACTACCCCAGGATAGACTAAAACCCAGGTTCATTTCCCCCAAAAGGAGAAGGCCTGCCTTGGGGTAGTCAAAAAGCGGAACCTTGGGCAACGGCATTTTTCCCATTGCAGTTCGCGCTGTTATGCTTTCTGTTTCCGAACTGCCCCTCAAAACGTCTTAGATTTGCTGCTGCCAGAGGTGCAGCCTGCCCTGGGCAGCCCAGAAGGATTTGAGGACAGCCTGCGTAAGGCACAATGAGGCATTGGGCAGCATGAGGCAGTTTAGAACATAGCCAACCTTTTCAGCAACCTGAAACCTCAACGGCCTGGGGCATGTGCCATTAGTATTGCAGAATTGGCCATTAGGTTTTGGTTCACAGGACTACCAGAAGCATTCTGGCGGCACTGGGGACCTGACCTAAGAAATACCAGAGGCTTGCAGCATGCAGTGGTAATTGAACTAAGGCTGTGGCTCTGATTGAGACGATCATTGAGGACTCTGCAAAAATTGAGGACCGCACAGACAAGTTGAATGCACAGCTGTCTGCGACGTGCAAAGCAGTTGTTGCAGGCAGAGCTTGTTTCTGCAGAGCAAGATGCGCAGTCATCGTGGCGATCTTAGACAGTTGGATATTGCAAAAACATAGCTTTACTCGCCTATCCCGTTTGTGTATGATGGGTAGGTCATTAGACAGATGTGTGGAGCAAAGGTACGAGAGTTTTGCAGCAGAGACAACCGAGAACATCAAGGCTAGTGGAAAGGCCCACAGACAAGCATCTCTGCTGTACAGTGAAAGGCAAAAACCGCCGAAGTGGATGGCAAGATGAAAGAGATGGCAGCCAGCCCTGTTTGGACGCAGTTGACTGTTTCACAAATAGCAACAGTTGAAACTGTACTGTATGCTGCCTGCTGAAGATCCTTGGCTATCCAGTCATCAGCCAGGCTGATGCCAAGAACGACAAGGCAGAGGCAGCGGTTCTTAAGCCTCAGCTTTTTCGCATTCCGTTGTCGTGATGGACTGTGCCTGGATTTTTGTTTGGTCCTTCTCAAAAACGGTTCGGCACGTGCCACTGGCTCAATCAGCCAATATTCCACGTGCAAAGACGCGTGTGTGACGTGGAGACGGCTCATGGCCGCACCTGAAGGCGGGCCTATACCATTTGACACAACTTGTGTCTGTTGAACAGAACTCCCACATTTTGTTTTGATGCTTTGACCTGGGGTGGCCTAGGGGTGTCCATCCATTTGCCCCGCCCCTTCCAACCCAGACCCCCTGCAGGCAAACCCAAGGCCTACCGACCTCTTCCTGGCCCCCTCAATGCTAACGACCCCCTTACCATGGGCTCATCCTACGAGGCCCCCAGTGTGGACCCTGAGCGCCCACGCACCCTTTGGCCCTGCTTAAGGCCTAGACACAGCCTCCCAAGAGTTCATGCCCTCTTGAATGTTCCATGGTGTTTGTGCATCGATTGACACAGGCTCCGTCACATTCAATGTTCGCGCCGACACCAGCTTCGGAGACAGGATTGTGCAACTCATCTTTGATCCTACAGACTTTGATGCTTCAATTCTAGTTTCTTAATGTCTTATAGTTTGGCTCACCTCCAGCTGTGGGTCCGCCGAGGCTGGTTGGCAGCGGCGATGCTCTAGGAAACTGGAATCCGTGTGACGGGGGCGTTGAGCTCACCACGACGGAGAAGGACCTTTGGACTTGTGGCCAACGTGCTGACTGAGCCCGGAGACATCCTGCATCACCGAGAGTCTCATTTGAGGACTATCCGGTGTGGAAGTCACCCACGATCAAGCTTGGAAAGGGGGCAGAGTACAAATACGCATCTCACTTGCAGAGGAGGGTGGATAAGAGTAGGCAGCGCATTGCTTGCCTCGGTCCCATTCAGCAAGAGGGCTTGCTTGATTTCAAGGTTCGGTTGAAGTGCGATGGAGATGCAGTTTGGGAATCTCAGCTGCATGGGAAAGAGGCGTTTTCTTCAGTCGCCATATTGGGATAGCGGCTAACCTTTTCTCCAAACATCCTCTTCATCCTGGCTTTTGTCGTTTTCGGGTTAACTCTCCTAAATACAGCCTTGAGAATAGATAAAATGGAGAGGGACCACATCAGCCTATCCCTTCATCACTTCTTAATATTAGAACCAACCATCTCACGGCTTCCCTGAGGAGTTTGATGGTGGAAATCGTCAGATCTCTGCAGAGGATTTGACACAGTCCTCCTCCATTGTCGTCGACGATGGCTTTTTTGGATTCTGGGTTGCATGGTGATGCTTTGCTGGATCCAATCGAGTGACGTCATACTCAGGTGAGCTTCTGGGAGATCACTTCTCCTATCCCGAGGCTGGCCCGCGAACGTGAGCCGCCGTCGCTAGTGCTGCTTCTGCTCTGCTCCTGCCTGTTGCTGCCTGTTGCTGCTGCTGCTGCTGCTGCTGCTGCTGCTGCCGCCTTTGCATATTCATGGCCTTCATTGTCGCTTTGCCATGGAGTTGCTTCGGCAGGTGCTCTCAAAGCAAGTGCACCGTGGTTCCTCTTTCGACCGCAAGCCTGCGGAAAATGCCCTGCAGCTATTTGGCGTGGCAAATCACTTTCTTTGTTTTGAGGGCAGATGCGCATGTCGTAGATCTTTGGAGCCATAGAGCAACAGCTCCGTACTTTGTTCAATTTGAGCTTGACCACATATGTATATATATATATATTTCCATATATATTATATACACGCATTTATATTTATATAGTCATGTTGGAGCTTTGCCTTGCTCTAAGGTTGGTAGTTGTAGGCGATGATGTGGCTGCTGGTCATGGAGCGGCGGGCTACAAGGGTTGGTCTGCAGAATTGGGCAGGCTGCTGAATGAGCAGTTCGGATCCTTGGAATCAGTTGGCATTCTCTGCAAGATTAGGAAGAGAGGCCCTCGAAACTCCATTCGAGTCAATCTCAATCAAAGGAAGCTTCAGTTTCATCGAGCATGTACGTATGTACCCCCCCCGCCCACGACGGCTGTATCCGCCCCGCTTTGAAAAGGGCCGATCCTCAAACACTCGAAATTGCCACCTTGCTCGCGCAACCCTTTCCTGACTTTCGGCAGGCAACCATCAACAGTTGAACCCCCTGCGGACTTTCGGGGCGCTGACCTTAAACAACTTCGTGTTGTTTTGCAATTTCAGCCAAACGCGATCAGGCTAACTTTCGAGGTTCTGAAGGAACTGACACCCGCAGAAGGCTCGCACGTTTTGGACATGTGTATTCCCCACCACACGCACGCATTTTTAGCCTGCGTGCTTATTATTCTCCTTTCTTTTGTCAGAGAGCTAGCTTTGAATTGGTGTCCGTACCACGGAAGTTCCTTCTAAACTTCCTTTGGTGAGCAAGCCAACCAAGACCAAACCAAATGCAAGCAGGGCCTAAACCCACTCCACAGGGCGGGCACACATATATATATATATATATATATATACACATACATATATGCTTATTTATAGTAGTTTGAGAACGTGCATCAACGGAGTAAGGAAAGGACAAGACTCAGCAAACGCAGAACATGTTTTCACCGGAAGCCGTGAAACGGATTCAGAATCACATGTTCTGACGCGTGCAACTTTGTGGCACAAGTGGGTTGATATTCACCTACATGTTTTGTCAGGTGCTACAGGGTGGTATTTCAGCTGATTTGGTTCACTTGCTTTCAGGGGACTTGCTTTTGTAGACAGAGCAAGGATATGGCTACAGCAATGTTGCGGAGATCGGCTTCAACATGCAGGAGAGCGCCTATTTCTGCATACTTGTTTGTGGACCTACTAAACAAGATACTTCAAGTCCACTTGCTGCATGCCTACCTCCAGGAGGCTTTGCGGAGAGGTCTCACAGAATTGCTGCCAAAGCCGCCTCCACAGGCAAGGCTTATTGCCAGCCATATGGATGCATGCGTGCTGTGGGGGAGATTAGTGGGATGCCCATTTGTACGCACTACTTCTGATTTTTGCTGCGTCAAAGCAGGTTGTTGTGATTGCCTTCAGCGCAGAGTTGCGATGGTTGGCCAACTGCCCAGACGCTTGGATATGTTTTCTTTTTCTCCCACATGCATTTTGGCGAGACTGCAGGCCGGCGAAATATGACCCATAGCCAATCCAAGGATTGGGAGAGGCAGACAATCTGCGACAACACCATAAAGGCCACACACAGCAGCAATATAATTTTGGAGTGAGCTTCAGTGTGGCAATGCATTCTCGCCCAGATGTGTCTCTGACGTCGGTTGATCAATGACCCCCTGCCCCCAACCACCCAATCCCTCAGCGCTGAGTTTCTGCACGCACGCAAGCATAGGGAATGCGACTAGATCACTGCAGTGTTTCAGTCCGGGCCGTGCTTATTCTCGGAGTCCAAGCTAGCCCCAAGCGCAGGCCATGGCCGCCCTTGTTGCAGACGCCTGGGATGCTGGCATCATGCCTGTCCTTGCCGGCTTTTGCCCTCATGAGAGCTTCGAGAGGGAGCAGGACACATTCATGTGATTTCATCTCATTTGCCTCGCCAGACTCTAAGTCTTTCAATCAGGCTGATCTGCTGCGGCGAGCAGATTCGGAGATGAGAAGCTTGGGAGCTCCTGTACTGGATTGGCTCCACGCGCTTAGCCCGGGCGGCGACAAGTTCGGGACAGTCGATTTGCCATGAGGGTGACAAATCAGCCACTTTGGCCCAAATTGCGCAGGAAATGGACTGATGGTCTTGCAAACTGCAACCTGTACCCCAACACCACTGGGCACCAGCGCATGCTGGCCTCAGTGAACCAAAGCATCTTTGAGCCTTTGAAGGACAGCCATTGCGCTCAAAGGGATCAGGTCCTCAGGTCCGGACTTGGACCTTTGAACTTTCTGCGTGCAGGTAAAGGATTTGCTGATGAAGAGAGCTGCGGAGATGGCTGATGTATGGCGGCTGTGTTTCCAGGACGGAAGGCGGGGTGAGGCCGTACTCCTCTTCCCAATTCGTCGTGTTGTCACGAAAGCACACTGCGCTGGCGGCATTGTCTAGGCCTTCTTTTTGCCTAAGGGTGCAGAGCTTGCCACAAAGGTTTGCGCAGAAGATGGGCGTCTTTTTTTTCGCTCGATTGGACGACACGTCTTTAGTTGTAAACGCTTCGCGTTGCCCGCCTCGGCCAGTATGGTTTTGGCTGGCTTTGAGGTACTGTGTTTTGGTTTGCCTTAAGGTGTGGTTTTTGTTTGAGTGAGTGAGTCGGCACCGACATGTGTGATAGAGGGTGGGTGCATGTTCGCGCATTTCCACATGGCTTCAAGAGCTTCAACGAGAGCAGCAGAGAGCCACAGAAGTCAGTGGACTGAGGCGAAGCGAAGCACTTGACTGGCTTCTAGAGGGGAAGTTGTGAGTGGTTTCTACCGGGATTTGGCCCGAGTTGGACCGGTGTTCAATTGTTTTTAGAGGGGTAGAGGGGGGTATTTGGCCAGTTTCTCGGGGGAATTCTGCCGGTTTCTAGGGGAGCAGGGCCGGTTTTAGAAGATTCGACGGGGATTCGGCCGGATCATAAGGGTTTGATTGGTTTCTAAATGGATTTGACCCTGGGTTTCCAAATGTTTTTAGAGGGGATTTGGTTGGCTTCTAGAGGGGAATTCGGGGGAATTTTCCCGGTTTCTTGGGGGACAGCGGATTGGTGTCTCGGGGGCTTTGGCCGGAGTTGGGCCGGTGTTAGAGGGGTTGGATTGGTTTCTAGAGGGGATTTTAATTTGACCGGTTTTAGCGGAGTTTGACCCTTTAAAATATATAGGGGATTTGACCGCTTCAAAGAGTCTGGAAGGATCTGGCCTCAGGGACTTGCTTCAGAGGGGTTTGAGGTAACCGGAGCATGGGCTTGGTCCCGCGATGTGGGGGACCACCTTCCCCTCATTGTTTTCAAGAGGAAGAGGAAGAACTTGCTGGAGAGAGCCTTCTGGCGACAAGCAGTGGAAACAGATATTTGCAGTGGATTTGAGTGCGAAGTCTGTGAAGGCGCCAGCCTTGAGCCAGACAGCCCTGGCCAAGGTTGCGCTTGGCATTAGCCATCATGAGTGAAGAGACGGCGGCGTCACAAAAGCGAACTAGGCAAATAATGTGTGTATATATACCCTTTGATTTGTTTGTGCGTCTCCCTCCCCCCTCTCTCTCTCTCTCTCTCTCTCTCTCTCGCTGTCCTTGATCTGTCTCTCTGCCTGTCTCCCTGTCTTTCTCCGTCCGCCGTCCCTCTCCCTCTCCCTCTCCCTCTCCCTCTCCCTCTCCCTCTCCCTCTCCCTCTCCCTCTCGCTCTCGCTCTCGCTCTCGCTCTCTCTCTCTCTCTCTCTCTCTCTCTCTCTCTCTCTCTCTCTCTCTCTCTCTCTCTCTGTTGCTTGCTCAGTTCGACTGCATGTTTTTTTTGGTCCCAACGCTTGAAGAAATCATTTGCCAGGGGGCTGGAGATTCACTACTGCTTGGCTCGGAAGGAAGTGCAGGACACCTGGCCGAAGATGCTCTTTTTTCACTACTGCTTGGCTCGGAAGGAAGTGCAGGACACCTGGCCGAAGATGCTCTTTTTTTTGTGCGAGCCAATTCAGAATCTTTGCTGGTGCCATTTGCCTTACTTTGCGTTGCCGAGGTAAGCAATACGACACAGGACGTGCTGCTTGCCAACAATGATAACTCGTGAGAGAGACCAAACTATTGTCAGCGTCACCCACATGGGGTTTACTCACCAAAAGACTACTTTCCATGTCCTTAGGGTAAGCAGAGTATGAGTCACTTGGCTGTGACTGACTCCACTGCAAGGTATGAACTTAATCCTGGCTGGGGCGAGATGCAATCAAGCCTTGCCGCGACTTTCACAGAAGCACCCTGGACACTGCGAAGGGGTCTCTACGTAAGGTTTTCGGATGACCAGGAAGCTCTCTTTTCTCTCTTTCTAGGCCTGGGATTCTGTGCCAATCGTTTCGAGTTACTACACACACACACACACACGCACTGCCAACCTTGAGGAACTTTCATTTTGCATGGAATGAGATGAACCTTCATTTTGCATGGAATGATATCCTTTCTTGCCTTTAGCGCTTTAAAATTGTGCGGGATGAAAAGGAGAGAGGAGGGAGAGAGAGAGAGAGAGAGGGGGAGATACATTGCAAGCGGAAGAACCTTGGACCTCGAAGGCATTTCATGCACTCACAAGGCTCTTTGGTCTGAATGGTGACGTGAAAGTAAGCAGCCAGGTGATTCTGGCACGCTGCAGTCCGGTGGTAAAGTTCCAGCTGGCAGCACTGCAACTCGACCAGTAGTTGGATTAGACTGATTGCGGCTTTGTCAATCAGGGCGAGAGAGAACGAGGATTTTGGCTGAGGGAGCTGTGTGAAGATACGTTCGAAGATACGTTCCTGGTCTCAAAACACCTCAAATGCCGTGTGAAGGCTCCACCAGCTACTAAATGTTGCGTAGCGAATTGCCCAGTCATGATTTGCACAAGCAAGCAATGAGCGAAGGGATATAGAATGCTCCGCGTTAATGTCTTTCAGAATGTCTCAAGGTATGACTGGGATAATTTGCTACATGCCTTGGAAGCTGCCACATACTGTGTGTGGTGGTTGGGTTCAACATTTGGCGCATGAGCGCAACCACTCCGAAATGCTATGCAGAACTCACGGGAAGTGATCAACAGAAGCATGTCGCAGACACAACGCGGTCAAGACACGTCAGGCTCAGTTGCCAGCTCTCATTGGGCAGGAAGCATGTTAGGGGGCACTGTCCAAGTTTGGCAGAAGGCTGAAGACTGGGACAGGTTCTCCCTATGGAGCCGTGGCCAAGTGCTTGTGGCGGCAAAGGAACAGGCCATGCCACGATGTCCCGCACGATCCAAGTAGAGCAACGAGCAAGTCTAGTGACCTTTCAGAGCGTCTAGTGAATGTTTCACGAGTGGCAACCCATTGCAGGGTCGTAGATGCATGTACAGCAGCGCGCCCACACTTGTGTAACGTGTCGGCATATATATATATAATATAAATATATACACATGACATACATATATATATATATATGTATATATATATATATATTTAAATCTATATCTACATAATACGCGCATACCTAGTATACATGTATATATATATATACACATGCACATCTACATAGTATGCATGTGATGTGATGTGATGAGTTGTTGCGTTGTGTTGTTTTATGTCGTGATGTGATGTGATGTGATGTAATGCATGCATTGTATGGAGTCTTATCGATGAGGCAGCAATGACAGGACAACCATGTGTCGAGTCATGTGACTCAACGCAAGATAGCCTTGCCATACACTCGATACACTAATGATGGTTGCAGGTGAAGCTGCGGCTTGTGGACAGCAAGCTCCAGGGATTGCCGGCGGGCAGCACCAAGCTCTTCTGCGATGACAATCTGCAGGTTGTGAGGACTGCTGAAGGGCGCCTTCAGCTCTTCAACCAAGCCAATTGACACCTGGCATGTGAGAACAGGGTGGACACGGTGCTTTGTTGGATGAGTATCAGCCATTCCGGCGCTACAGCCCTGCCGCCGACCAGTAGCCAAAGCAACAGAATTGCTTGTAACATGTTTTTTGCACAAATCCTTGGACACAAAAGGATATTTCCCTTTTCCCAGGCTTCGCATCCCCAGCCACCACCATGACCGCTGTAAGCCAACTCTTTCTTTATTACAAACACTCGTGCTGCTGAGGGTGCCAGTTGAATTCCATGATGATGAGGATGAAGTTGAAGATGAAGATGAACATGATGATGATGATGATGATGATGATGATGATGATGATGATGATGATGATGATGATGATGATGATGATGATGATGATGATGATGATGATGATGATTATGATGCTGATGATGATGATGCTGATGATGGTGATAGTGATAGTGATCATGATGACAGTGGTAATGATGATACGCACCCTTCCCGTCCGCCTCCCTTTTTTGAGCAGGGGTCGGCGGATTCATTTGTCTCCCAGGCATGCTTTCAAACTTCAATGCGCGCAGATTCGTCCACTTTGTTCGGGGCCGCCTCAAGAATCATCGGGGGGATACACGCTCGGTTTGCGGCACACCACATCAGACAATGCATTGCAGCATGAGGCCTTGTTGCAAGATTAGGAGCTGCCAATCGAGTGTTCTGCGCTGTATTCCAGTCTTTGTGGCAGATTTAATGTCATTTGTTGAGGTGAGTACAACGTGCACCCAATGTGGTATGACGTGCGACAAGCAACCAAAGCTGTGCAGCACGGAGTTTATGAAGATGCATCAGGACAGCCGTGCGGAGAGGGCAACCGCAAGGCAATGTTGGTGCATCTCTGGCATTGGCATTGCAGTAGCTTTTCCAAACACATGAGCAGTTCCGCCCTCAGATTCAGGAGGTAGCAGTTGAACAAATGGGTTGAGACTCGGTCACACAGGTCCCAGTGTTTGCCAGGGTGTGCTGGCGATTTGGCCTTGTAGTTTCGCGCCACCGAGCAACTTTACAGTTTCTACCGGCGCACACGGCTAGTTGCGCGTCCCACAACGATCTTCCTGGGGATTGGGAGTGCTGCGTGCCCACAGAATCACATGTGGTGCTATATTGGCCACTGCCATTGCCAGGACTGCCTTTCCGGACGGCCATCATTTCCTGCCACGGACTGCAGTCTCGCGTGAAAGTGCCTGCCAAGTCTGCGGTGGAACTGTGCAGAGTTGGCGACCTGAAGTCGATCCAGCAAGTTGCCGCACCTTGCCGATGTGACTGCTTTGTCCTTTTGACTTGCCCTGTCGGGTCTATTTGTAGTTGGACGCGGAGTGATGGAGTGGCTTTTTTTGTGTGTTTGATTACGAACATCTAATCATTTTTTTGTTGTTCCTTGTTTGCCTTTTGGTCTGTTGTTTTGCCTTGAACCTCGGTTTTTTGCAATTTGACCAGAGGTGCTTCCTCTTGGCGACCGATGCTCCACTCGCCTCTCAGCTGACAGGCTTAAAGGGTGTCATGATTTTATGTTTGAAATTGGGGTGTTTCTGTGTGTGTGTGTGTGCGCGAGTGTGGGAGTCCCAGTCATTGAACAAAAATGACATCCCTGCCTTGCAAAAGGCATGCTGCTGCACAAGATCGAATTTGACGGCCCGTGCTATCCATTTGATCTGACCAGCATCTCATATCAAAGAAGCTATCATTCTTTTGTTCTGCGAAGGGCTAGCGAAAGCATCCCACACAAATGCGCTGAGGAACAACTAGTCTGGCAGATGTGGCAGATATGGCTGCCACAGGCTTCGAGGACATGTGGAACCCGGACTGTCTGTACTATGATGGCGATGTTGGGCGAATATTCCACCGGAAATGGAATGGCCTATCCTTTGCCCATGAGGTGGAGTATGAGCAGGGCGAGGACCCTATTGGCAACTTTGCTCCGATTGTGGAAAGAATGAGGAGCCTTGGCCGAGCTGGTGTGTCTGTGGAGTGGCATGCGACTCTGTTAGAGGAGACTGGCTTTCCTAAGCTTCGGCAAAACGAAGTCCCTTGGGCGATCGAGTGGAATGGTCGAGTGCGAGACAACAGCATTGGCAGAACGTTCTCTCATTTGGAGACCATCAAAATGAGGGCCAAACCCAAGAACCCGACAGCTCCAAGCCAACGCCTATCTCATCGCAATGTACTGTATCTCGCACTCACTTGCTTTCTCCTGCACCCAATGTTCGTATCTGCAAAGGTTTGGTTCTTTTTGCCATGGCTCACTGGGTTGCGTGGCAGTCAAGTAGCGCCACGTCCACAGCACCAGACACTAGCAATCTATGTTCTGCTTCCTCAGAAGTGCAAGCAACGTTGCCACAGGCCCACCCCGTATGTACGCATTGGGTACTTGAGAAACATTGCTTCGGTCGACTGTTGTGTCGCGGATGAGCTTTTCATGCAGCCTTTCCGAAGGAAGAGATACACCAGCAGAGCGGCTCGTTTCGAGTGGGCCTGCAAGAATGCCGACAGCGTACTCTTCGTTCGAACTGGCGTGGCCTCCAGAGCCGAAGTGTCGGATCTTCTGTCAGGGCCTCGATGTTGGATCGGTGAGAGCCCGAATGCAAGTTGCTAGGTCACGGATGCAGCAGCGCTATCCTGACCTCCAAGTGCCTTGATTGGCACGGGTCAGACCGGTCAGAGGAAACGTCTCTCAGCTTGAGGCCAAGCTGCTGCTCATATCGGATCAAGACACTGGCGAGTTTAGCGGGTTGGCCAACGTGACGCACATCCGGGAGAGCTTTGATCCTGACAGGACCGCATTCAAGGAGTGCTTTTATGCAGTGTATTGGCATGCAGGATGTATGAGGATATGAACTACTGGATTAACTGTGCCTGACTCAGATTTCGGAGTGCACAATACAAAAACATACGCCGAGGTGCACATCGCTTTCGTGGGATCTTGGAGGGAGTTGGAATCACAGCCCGAAACCTCTACTGGTGCCCAAATAATCTCAAAGAAGCCGAGAAGGACAGGGAATGCCATGGGTCACATAGAACTTTTGCGGATGCAAGTAAAGTATCCAATGGGCCAAGTAAAGTTGAAGGGCCACACTTTTTCTATTGCGGTGTGCTTGGTGTAGGAGCTCGAAGGCGCTGCCGAGAACGGCAAAAAGGAATCTGGCAAGGAATCTGGCCTCAAGGCCACAAAGCTGACGCCAGCGACCAAGATGCGGACGTGTTTTTCTCAACTTGTGGAACAAGCATGCACGATTGCTGGGCTGTCAGGTCAGAAATCGCAAAATTTTCCCATGCTAACCTGTACGAGCTGCATCAGGCAGGAGCTTCATTGATGGAGCCTTTGTTTAACCAGGCAGCCAACGTTATTTTGAGCTGCTGTGCCAAGAACCAACCCACATCGGCGTTTCGCGCATAAGAGATGCACTCGCCTGAAAGGTACACATAGAAATGTCCGAGGCTTAGGGCCTGCAGCACCTATGCTCAATGGCCTATCCAGGAATCGAGCGTCACCAAGGAAGTTCGAGAAAGACAGTCCCAAGAAGGAGACTCCTGCAGCAACAGGATTTTTGTAGACAAGACGGGGCCCATGCCCCTTTCTGGTCTGGCGCCCGTTCGCAAGCCTCATGGTGGCCGGATGCGCCTTCTTCCATAGCCAGCACTGAAGGTAGGGAAGGTTCAAGGAGAAGCTCGGTCCGCGCTTCATGGCATAGTGCTTAACTTCCCAACCTTTTGTGCTTTAGTTTTCTATCTAGCAAAACAGGGCAACCATAGCAGCAGCCTTAGCAGCCTTGGCAGCCTTGGCAGCCTTGGCAGCCTTGGCAGCCTTGGCAGCCTTGGCAGCCTTGGCAGCCTTGGTAGCCTTCAGGCACCTGCGTGGCTGGCGCTAAATATAATTTGTAGACAGGTTTTGCTGCTCGCCGGTCAAACATGGCCGGGTCTGTGGCAGAGGTCGCTTAAAGTGAGAGGGGATATTTTTCCAGCCGCAAGCTCCAGGCTCCAACTGTACAGAGAGGAGAAACGCCAGGGCGTGGGTGCTTGGGTCGTTGTGTCGTTGCCTATGCGAGGTCGCTTTTTGGATCGAAGCATTAGCTGCCTCAAGATGCATACTCAAATGTCTTGATTAGCGTGTCAGCACCAAGTTAATAGACCATCTCCCTTGCAGTGCAGAAGCAGAAGCCCAACAATTGTGTTCCCAGCCTACTGATGGCTTGGCTTGCATGCCTGGCAAAGGATGCAACGAATTCAAATCCATATTTAATGCATGCATCCTAGATGTACTGCGCATGGGATTGTTGCGTCGGCATCTCAGACCTGCCACACCCAAACATCTCAGACCTGCGATCCGAATCGAGTTGAAGGCGTTGAAGGCTGGAGCGTTTCGAGGCCTGGGCCTGGGGATTCCAAAGCTCACGATGGAGCGCGGGGAGAGCCAGCAGACGCTATGTCCAGGCGACTTTCTCAGTGCTGCAATTTATGGCATTTATGGCATTCGGCTAATATATTTTTATTCGGCGTATTGCACGGCGCTAGAAAGGAAACACACCGGAATGGAGTCACCTGATGCTTTCTAGGTCCCTTTCGGGGAGCGGACTGCGGGCTTTGTCTGCTGAGGCGCCGACAAGGATATATGTTATGTTGTTTGACACTCGTGACTGTGGCTGCCAGGACAAGGCAAGAATTGGCAACCTCATCAAGGTCCTTGGCTTTGCAACCTTTTGCCATGGACAACTTTGCAGACAGTAAGAGTTCATTAGTTGCTCAGGTGCTCGTTCAAGAAAGACGAGACAAGGAGTGCCTTTGTTGCTTGACTTTGGGAAAGCTTTCCAAAAGCTTACTGACGGTCAGGAAAATCTTCGCGAGAAGTTGGGCCAAGAGGCTTGCAAGGTGCAGGCGCCAGTACAGAGCGAGAGAACGAGACAACGCGAGCACGAGACAACGCGAGCACGAGAGAACGAAGAACACAAGAACCAGAGCGAACATTGTCGCTGCTGTTGTGTCGTGAGTGTGCGGCGTTCGGAAGTATGGCTCTGTGGCTCTGTCCCCAATTGTTCCTGCCGACTTGGGGAGACAGACACGGACGCAGGACCTACAGAGGGATCGGGAAGTCAGCCAGAGGAAGGAGGCGGAGCTGGTGGCTCGTGCGCCCGGCTGGTGGCTTGCTTGCTGGACAGTTGCTGGAGAGTTCGGCACATTCCGTGAGACTCGCACGGCCAGGCGTGGCCCGATCGCTCGACTTGCTGCGTAGTTTCCAGGAGCGTTGCAGAGATTGCAGCGACGTTCTGGTTTGCAGAAGTGTTGTAGCTGCAGTGACATGTTGCAGGCTGAAGTGTCGGCAAGCCGATCTCAAGGTAGACCCGCCGAGCGCTCTTAGTCCATGAATGCACTTCGCTCCAGGTAGTTCTTCAGATAGGCGCTCATCAGAGGCCACTGATTGCACATAGCGCCAGCAATCAAGTGGACTAGCTTTCCCTGTCAGGTGGAGCGACAATCGATGTCACCGATGCCTGCACCGCTGCCCCAACTGCGGATGCTGGGTCAGGTGTGCGCAGCTTGCAAGTCATGTGCTTTGAGCAAAGCAAGACGAGCAGATCATCGAGGGGCATGGGCATTTGATTGAGCTAAGGCAAGCATCCCTTCAGAGCCAGTACAAATTGCAGAACCGCGTCAAGCACGGGCAGCGACCTGATCGCAATCGGCACATCAGCATGTCCAGCGGACAGATTTCTGCATACTGCTGCAAATGAACATGCTGCAGCAGATAACCAAATGCCGAGGCAAGTGTCCCTGCAGGGCGAGTACGATTTGCAGAACTCCGCGAAGCAGAGGCGGCAACTTGATGAGAATAGGCCTGCATGGCAGGCAAACTTGTGAGCAACTGTAGATATTCACTGACATTGTTGGTAGATACTGGAGGGCAAGGGTAAAACACGCACACAGACACTGAACAAACAGGGGAATTTGCATGAGCTCCTTGTGTGAACCCTCCTGCTGCAATCCTGGCCGTTTGCTAAATTGCAGTGGTCTCTCAATCACATCTCCAATGCTGCGAACGTCCGCAGCGTCGGACAACGTAGCTAGAGCATGCCTTGAAAATTGGGAAATCTACATTTGTTTAACCGTTGTGAATCCATTCTATATCACTTGAACTTATGTGCAAGCTCGAGCAGTTCATGTTGTGAGTACGAACATCCTGCCAGATGTCTCCAGCTGAGGCAAGCGCCTGCGCACGGCCACCGCAAATTGCGGAGCCCCCTCAAGCAGTGGCGGTAACTTGATAAGAATAGGCACATGCGCTTTGTGTTCATGGCGACAACGAGCGAGTATCTAGCCGCGGGCCACGGTGTGCAATTGGGCTCATATTTAAGCTCGAGCAGGTCATGAAGTAACACCAACATCCTGCCAGATGACCTCAGCTGAGGCAGGTATCCTCGCAGGGCGGGCGCAGATTGCGGAGACCCCTCAAGCAGTGGCAGTAGCTTGGTAAGAGTGGGCGCATGCGCTTTGTGTTCATGGTGACAACCAGCGAGTATTTAGCGTACCCACATGGCGCGCCAGTCTTGTGAGCTACGCATATTGACTGACATTCTTGCTAGATACTGGATAGCGGGCGGACACGCCCACCCACTTCCACACCCACGCCCAAAACCGCGCCCACACCTACAGCCAGCCACCCCCACCCACAGCCAGACACGCCCACCCACAGCCAGCCAGCCAGCCAGCCAGCCAGGCAGCGCCAGCCAGCCAGCCAGCACACCACATACACAACACACACACACACACGCTCACACACACACACACATGCCAAATTGGCAGTTGTGAAGGACCGCACTTGCACACAATTTATGCCTTGTGGGCTCATAAGCTTGAACATTTTGCAGCATGATTTCAGCTGAGGCCAGCACTCCCGCTGAGCGAGCGCAGATTGCAGAGCCCCGTCAAGGAGAGGCGGTAACTTGATGAGAATAGGCACATGAGCTTTGTGTTCGTGGCGACAACAAGCGAGTGTCTAGCAGCAGGCCCATGGTGTGCAATTTGGCTCATGTGCAAGCTCGAGAGATCAGGAAGTGAGTACAGTATATACCAACATCCTGCCCAGAAGGAACTCAGCTGAGGCAAGCGCCCCCGCAGGGCGGGCGCAGATTGCAGAACCATGTCAAGCGGAGGCGGCAACTTGGTACAAATGGTTGCATGCGCTTCGTGTTCATAGTGACAACCAGCGAGTATGTAGCAGCAGAGCCAAGCACGGTGTGTTTTCTCACTGCCGCTTTGTGTGGATACTGGAGGACAGGTAAGCGCGCTCCCCCGCACCCACCCACGCACACACACACACAGACACGCACGCACGCACCCTTGCACGCACCCGCACCCGCACACACAGACACACACACAGACACACAGACACACAGACACACAGACACACAGACACACAGACACACAGACACACAGACACACAGACACACAGACACACAGACACACAGACACACACAGCCACACAGACACACAGACACACAGACACACAGACACACAGCCACACAGACACACAGCCACACAGCCACACAGACACACAGACACACAGACACACAGACACACAGACACACAGACACACAGACACACAGACACACAGACACACAGACACACAGACACACAGACACACAGACACACAGACACACAGACACACAGACACA